TGCGCACCTCCCCCCCCTCCCCCGTGCACACGCCTTTCTGCAGCCACCAAACCTACAGCAGGTTGCTCCTCCCTTGTCCCTGGCGGAAAGCCTGCAGTCCCAGGTGCATTTTTGTGCACTCATCCCAGCACTTGGTCTCGTCGCCCTCACCTGGGAAACGGGGCTGACGTCGGCTCCCCCCTCACGGGGTCCGAGCAGCGGCTGCTGTGTGAATGTTCAGTGATGCCATTCCTGCCTCGTACTCCGAGGGCGAAGGAAATCACACTGCGGATTCACCTTCAACGTGGGCGGAGATGTATTTTTAAGAGACCATCCAGCACCGTTTTCCTGAATTCGGTTTTCTAATCCTTCGGTCGTAATGGGGACAGCACCGAGCCAACTTTCCCTCCGTGTCCCCGCGCCCTGTGTACCAGTCCCCAGCTTTCCAGCCTGTACAAAAGGGCACTGAGGCTGGGGTAGACGCGTCCTGGCCGCTCCTTGCACACTCTCGCGTGTGTGCGTCCTCTGTTACACCTGCTTCACGGAGGCACCTGTGTCCTGGGGACTCTGGGGACAGTGACCTGGTCTTGGCACCTACTGCGCAGCCATGCTCCAGCTTCCGAGAGCAAATGTGATATGGAAAGGGTCCTTTTTAACAGCTAAGTTCAAAGGCGATGCCTTCCCTCACAGCGTCTCCCCTGTCTCTCCTCACACGTTCAAGATACAGTGATGTTTACAGTAGTTCTCTGACTTCCCAGGTCACTTGTTTTTCAGAGCCCTGCACGTAGCCCTGAGGGCACACCGCCCTGGTCCCCTGCAGACACTCAGAAGCCCGCCAGGCTCCTCCCTTCCTGTCTCCCTCCTCCCGGATGCCCCTTCCTTCTGCGAATATCACGAATATCACCGCGCCCTGACTGGCCACCCGGCCGCGGCCGGCCGTGGCTCAAGCTTGTGGGACCCAGACCCAGCACCGCCTCCCTCGGCGCCACGAAGCCTGGGGTCCACAGACCGGCCTCCCAGGACCCCTTTCTTGAGCCGACCCTTCGGTGCCCCAGCAGGGCAGTTCTGATGCCCCTGGTCTGAGCAGGAAGACCAGCTCGTTGGGTGGAGTGTTTATTTCTAGAGTTCTCTTCCTATGGCTTCCAGGCAGGAGATCACAGCGCCTTGCACAGGCAGCCCTGGATGCTACAGCAGAAAGTGACCAGGAGACCAAGAGGGGACTCCTTCCCCAGCTGAGCCTGCGTCCCCCAGGCGAGCCTCACCCTATCACCCTAGGCCGACTTGCTTCCCAGGCGAGCCCCGCCCTCACGCGGGCCCCGCCCCCAGGCGAGCCCCGCCCCCAGGTCCGCTGCTCCTGAAGGTGCCCTGACGCGAGGATCGACATTTGGCTTAACTTCCCGCGGCACTTACGCCTTCAAACGTGCGTCCCATCCTTGGCTGAAGAAAACGTTCCGATTTTGCACACTGGCCGCAGGTTGTAGTGACGAGTATGCTCTCCAGATAACCTGGCCCTTCTTACCTTGTGGGGTGCTCCTTGCTCCCACCTTGTGCAAACGTAAACAGCCCTGCTGTGGATTCCATTCTACCCGTAAGGCAGAATGTCACAACTGCCCGAGGTGCGGGGAGCAGCGGAATATCGGAACGGTTGGCGCCTGGGATTTGCCTGGACCCTGCATAATTTATCTGACGGTCTTTGAATCCTTCGCGTGTAGTTCAGGAAGATCATCGTGTAGCTGTCTGATAAACACTGAAGTTTCCTTACGGAGGGTCGAGTTGACTGATCACCGCAGAATTATCTTTCTTGTAGGCTTAATGAGTTAGAAGGTCAGGCGTTCCGGCGCCTTCCTGAGGTTCTGACACACGCAGGTTTCTACAGGTTGTGCTTGGGAGGGGGAGGGCCATTTGTGAACCAATAATGGAGCTCCAGTTACTGTTGGCCATGACTCTGGTCCAGCCAGAGTGTGCTCCATGGCCTTCCCCCTTCCCTACGCGAACGGACTACGGTTTCAGCGCCTAAAAGAGGAATCATTTTACCTGCTTTTAGTGAGTGAGAAGTTTTGTAAAAATGCTAAGTGGTTCACTTATGCCAATGGCCCCAGGCCTCTGGGCTCTGCACAGGGGAAGTGCTTGGGATGAAGATAAGTGTGTGTTGGGGGAGGGGGGAGGAACGATGACACAGGGCCTGAACCCACGTGTCAAGCTGGGTCAAGGCGGAAGGAAGGACGACACAGGGCCTGAACCCACGTGTCAAGCCGGGTCAAAGGACAGTCGGGACTCCTGCATGAGGCAGCAAGTGCTGAGAGCCCCATGCCCAAGCAGGTGGACTGAGCACAGACCGTGTTTCCACCAAGGGTCAGGACGTGGGAGGAAAGGCTGGGCGGGAACCAGGAGCGGGGATGTGGGAGGGGCGGGCTGGCTACCGGAGCCCCTCCCAGGAGGCGGGTCGTCGTGGAAGAAGGTTCTGGTTAGGGAGGGGAAGGGACCGCCCCAGTTACCCAACTGCAGTTCCTTCATCTTGGACGTCCAACCCCCAGGATTCTGGGAGACACATTTCTGTTGTTATGGCCCCCAGTTTGCGGTATTTTGTTGCAGCCGGAGCAGACCAAGCTGCCGGCTTCCTGGGGGTCTCACCAGCCTATATTGTCCATGAACAGACAAGGAAACTTTCCGCAAAATCAAGCGTTTAAAGACAGCCGACACAACTTTCGGGGCCCATCCCACGCTGACACTGGGGACGTAGACCAGACCATGAAAACCACTGCCCTGATCTGGGGGTGTGTCGGCCGCCGCACAGGGCTCTGCTGCTCATTGCCCGAATCCGAATCCGGGAGGAGAACGATGGCTAGCGGCTTAGCGCGTCAGCTCTACAAGCGGGAAACAGGAGGCGGTGGCCCACCTTCAGAAGAAAGCCATTACGTAAGAAGGGCTGAATCAGGAACAGTTCTCTTAGACTCAGACACAGCCTCTCCGCGCACGGGCCTCGAGGATGACACTCGGTTTGGGAAGAGACAGGACAGGGACAGATTCGTCCCCCGACACACAGGAGGGAGGGTCCCACGGTGGGGGCTTCCGCTCCAGGGTCTCCAGGGTCTCTTCTTACGAAAGAGCTGGGCTCTGAGCCCCCGCCCCTGCCCCCAGGCACTTTTAATCAGAAGCAGGAGGGGAGGGACATTTGTCTACCCAAGCCAGACGCTGGTCTGGACGACAGCAGTGCACACAGTAGGCACCCACTGAAAGCAAGACAACCAGGATGGAATCCCGACGAGGTGTGTGGGGGGCACGCGGTCTAGGCAGAAGACTGGGAAGACCCCGGCATCCGCACATCCTCATCCTGCCTTAAACGAGGAGGACTGGGTCAGCGGAGCCCGGACATCCTGGGTCTTCGTCTCCGGCTGGCCAGCTGCCCGACACGGTCAGGTTTGTTGCTGACGGTTCCGAAGCGGCCGGGTGTGTGACGGATGGGACGCAGGGGCGTCGTAAGCCCCGCCCTCCCCGCCCCCACTCGCTCCCCTCCTGGCGGATGTGGGCACGGCCCTTCCCGACAGCACGGACGGCGGGCCTTACCAGGACCATGTGGCCGGTGGAGATGTCCATGTGGGGCTGCACCGGCTCCTCCGACCAGGATGACGTGCTGCTCCGGGCGGAAGGGCTGGGCATCGGCCCGTCGCTGAACTGGGACGAGACGCTGTTGATGCGGGTCGTGTGCGGGCCCTCCGGGCGCTCCGACGTGCGCGTGGCCATGCGCTGCCGGCACAGCTCCTGGGGGACGGTGAGGGCAGGTTAGTGTGGCCTCCCCCCCGAGCCCTGCCCGGCCCGAGAGCCGAGGGGCACGTGGGGCTCTCCCCTGCAGCCATGCACACGCGCACACAGATCACACACACGGATGCGCACACCCGGCCACACGCGCACAGACACGTAAATACTCAATACGCAGACATGCACACAGACAGATACACACATATAGGTGGGTACACATGCCCACAAGACACAGATACACACACAGATTCAGGCAAAAGGGCCACTGGACCGAGCCCGCGGCGACACTGGACCACCCGCAGAACCATGCCACGTGCAGGCTGAACCAGGCATCTTCCTCTCCTCTTCAGAAGATGGGTCACAGAGGCAGAGAAGGGTGTGCGCTGTGCTCTCAGCTTGGTGCCATGGTCAGGCGTTGGGGGGAACCGCCTCTGTGTGGTTCTTCCCGTTTTTCCCCAAACGATGCCCAAACGGGTAAGAGCCCCCACAGAAGATAATAAACGAAATCACATACGAAAAGGGAAGTACGCGGTTCATGGAAAAGGGTTTGCTTCCTTGACCAGACCCCCAAAGACAGAGTTTCCAGATCTAAAGGAAAATCTCGGCACAACGCCAAACGGAGCTTCTGTCTGGCCACCGCAGGGTCCTCGCCATCGCCACGCAAGGCGGACACGGCGCTCAGAGACGGGGGCGCCCGGTGGAGTCGCTCGCTAGCTGCTGGCTGTCATCGGACAGTCGGCCGGGACGCCCCCCACTTCTCACTAGCACAATAACCGTGCAAGGGCTCTGGCGTCATGATCTCACGAATTCCATCCTTTGCTCCCTGAAAATATCACTGTCACTTGAGCCATCAAAATACAATGGTATCGAGAGAAAGTCTGTAAGGGAATCTGAGCCCAAGAGGGGAATTAAACACGCATTCACGGGACAAGATGCCGGGGAGCGGCAGGGCTCCCGCGTGCTCCTCCCTTCCCGGTGCTGGTGCCCAGCCGTCCCTACCAGCCCCACGCACCAGGGCAGTGGCTGATGCCCACAGAACGCTCACGCGTTTTCCTGAACCTTCCACGTGGCTGCCATCTTCCTCAGTGTTAGAGAGCTTCAGAAGGCCGCCGCCACCGTAGAGAAGAGACCTCTCTGGGCACAGCTCCCAGGGGAGGCACGGCACACGGGCCTGGAGCCGGGTGGCCGCACCGCTGGGACAGGTGCGCTGAGGGGAGCCCCACGGGCCACACCGCACGAGCCCTCTGCCCACCAGGGCCGTGGGTCTTGGGAGCAGGGCTGTGGGGGTCCCGAGGAGCGGGGGTAACGTCAGGCACGAGGCCACCGCCAGGACGGCAGAAGGATGGCAGGGGAGCCACTGTGCGTCCCCTGCGTCTGCCCACACATGGTTTTTACACGATGAGTCTGTTTAAAAACCCAGCCAGATTCTCTCACAATCTTGAAAACAAACAAACAAGCCCCAGACACAACGGGTTATTTTAATAAGGTAGATGGTGTCAGTTAACCCTTCTTTCCCGTGGGTGAAGTTCACCTGCAAGAATAAGCAGTAGGTCCGACCGAACCTCAAGGCCACGCCACCGAAGGCCAGGAGGGCGCCAAACATTCCTCCAGGAAGGAGCGCCCCTGGGGAGGAAGGTTCGCGATGGCTGCGATTTGGTCACTAAGAGACAAACGTCACAGCAGCTAGGTGACCCCCCAGGACTGTGCGGGGATCGGGGACGACCACTCTCTCTCTCTCTGCTCGAGGGAGACCGCGCAATCTCGGGCGGGCGGGCACATCCCGCGAGGTCTCCGGCTCGAGTGTTTCCACTTTAAAAACGGAAGTACTCATCTTGTTACCGTGAGAGGCCCGTGCGGTGGCCGCCGGAGAAAGCCTTTGGTCATTCCTCAGCAGGTGGTGCAGATGTCAGTGCCACAGAAATGAACAGTCCCAAGGGCCCAGCGAGTTCAAAGATATTTCTAGAGAGGGGCGCCTGGGTGGCGCAGTCGGTTAAGCGTCCGACTTCAGCCAGGTCACGATCTCGCGGTCCGTGAGTTCGAGCCCCGCGTCGGGCTCTGGGCTGATGGCTCAGAGCCCGGATCGTGCTTCCGATTCTGTGTCTCCCTCTCTCTCTGCCCCTCCCCCGTTCATGCTCTGTCTCTCTCTGTCCCCAAAATAAATAAACATTGAAAAAAAAAATTTAAAAAAAAGACATTTCTAGAGAAACCGCAGAATTTTGGAGTCGGAAGAGGCAGCAGATCGCGGGTGAGACCTCTCTTGGCAGGCGACTCAGCGGCTGGCTGGAGGCTCCGGGGGGCCGCTGGGGGCTGCGACCTGGGCCCAGCTCGCTGCAGCGTTACTCAGTGCTGGCGCTCTTGTAGGTCTTTCTTGAAAACAACGCAATTCTCACAGGCAGAGGGAAGGTTCCAAGAAGAGGTGGTCCCAGCCTGCGCCCCAGGGCAGTGCACATCTGCCCTCCGGGCACATGGACAGTGGTCACCCCAAGAGCGAGGGAGCGGCTCTGGCTGGACCTGGGGGGGCACCACCTGGGGGGCCCACTGCCGTGTTGGCGGGGGAGTGCCGGGGGCCCAGGCTGCTCCCATCACATTCTGTAGATACAGGTAAAGACACGGGCCACCTGCTCGGATGGGACTTTGATTTTGAACTGACCGCTGTCCAGTTTCTGTATGATGAACCGAGCCAGCCGCTAAGACCATGCGCCTCTGGTGGGAGGGGAGGGGAAGGGAGGGGAGAGGTGAGGAGGGGAGGGGAGGGTCACGTCGGAAGTGGGTTCTTGGGTTTGAAGCCACCGCACACCCGAGGGCCTTGAGGCCTCCACTCCGTGGGGGCCCGTCTGACCCTGACGGGCTGACAGGTGGCCGTGGGGGCCCGTCTGACCTTGACCTGGGATGACGGGCGGTCGCAGGCAGCTGTGCTCCCCTTGCGCCCCAGCCAGGGTGGGACAGACACCAGGAGAGTTCGCCCTTGGGACGCAAACAGCCGGGTGTTCGGCGCTGTCTCGGGAGGGGTTCCACCTGGAATCCAGGGCCCAGGAAACGGCTCCTCCAGAGGAATGGAGACCCGGGCTGTAACGTGTGTTGACCCGTGATTCTTCCCCTCGGGCTCCAAGAAATCGCTCCCCCGTTCACAGCACCTGAGCGACAATGCCTGCTTCCCGTCCTCGCCTCCGCACTCACTGGCTGTGTGACCTCAGGCAAACCGCCTAGCCTCCCCGTGTCCCAGTTTCCTCGCCTGTGAAACCGACCTCATGGTTCTTGTGGGGACTCAACAAGGTCTCATGCTCAGAACCAGCCTTCAGCACGGCCTGGCACATTATTAGCTATTAGTGTTTATCCAGCATCTGGCGGTCCACACGTACCGTTCCTAGATGCCGGGAATGACCGTTGAGTACGACCAGCCGGGCCCTGACCTCCCCGTGCCCATGGTCCAGCCCAGAGCCGTTGGGTGTTTTGGGGGACGGGAGCCGCCGGGCAGGGGCCTCCCGGGTGAGATGCTCCAGATCTGAGGGCACCTTTCGCCGGGCCTTGTGAGGGAAAGCGCAGGCCCAGAGGGGCTAACGCTTCCAAGCGGACAGAGCCCCCGGCAGGACACGGGGGAAAAATCGGAAAGATGGCCCTGGCCCGAAGCTCTCCAGCGGCGTTCCGCAGGTACGCGCATCTCGAACCTTCGACGTGCCTGCCGCCACCGGCGTTCTGCCTCGGAAGCAAGCGGTACAAGGCCGGGCGGTCTGTGCGGGCAGGAACGCCAGTCAGAGGCCGAGGCCCCGAGGGAAGCCGCCATTCGCCTGCGGCCACCTTCGCCTCTCCTTCACCTCTCGTCACCCCGCCCCGCAAGCCCATCGTTGCTGAGACACGGGCGTCGCGACCGAGGTTCTCACGGGACCCACCCAGGGGCCGGCTGTTCCAGACGCGTCCCCGGGGTTTGCGTGCTGGCTTCTGCCGGGCTGGGGTCCGAGCTCTGCCCTGGGAAGGAAGCAGCCGCCAGGGGCCGACGTTCCCCGTGCCACTCCTGCGACCTTGGCGAACCGCTAACCTTCTCCCGCCGCATCTTCCTACCGTGAGAGCCGGGAAAGCACCGCATGCTGACCTGACCCGCCCTCCCCCCCGTCACGGGGCTGCCGCGCGTGCGTCACGGTAACAGAGGGTGGGCACACACCCGGCGAGGGCCCTGGGACAGCGTGCCGCACGTGGTCCGTGGACTGCGAGGGGCGAGCCCCAGCCCCTGGCGCCCCCCGCGGTGCCCGTCCGTTGGAACCGTTGGGTCGGATGGACACGCCCACCAGGAGGGGACACAGGCCAGGCTGTTCCGGAACCCCGACTGTGAGCCCCCACAGGTGCAAACCGTGTCCCCCTCTCTCCCTGCTGCCAGGTCAGCTCCATGCGGTCCCAGGAAGCTCCGGACGCCCCCAGGGAGGCTTCTCTGCCCGCGGGAGAACTCTCTGGGGGACTCACCGTGTGCCCTTCTAATTAGTGCTTTAGGTTGATTATGGCTTGAAATTCTGACCAGACTCTACTCTTACCTTATAATATTTTTATTTTTTCAAGTTTTGTTTTTGAGAGAGAGAGAGAGAGAGAGAGAGAGGGAGAGAGGGTGGAGGAGAGGCAGAGAGAGAGGGAGAGCGAGAATCCCAGGCAGGCTCTGCGCTGTCAGCACGGAGCCTGATGCGGGGCTCGATCCCAGGAACCGGGAGATCGTGACCTGAGCCGAGATCGAGCTGGACGCTCAACTGACTAAGTCACCCGGGAGCCCCTCCTTACTGTTACTTTAAAACCAAAATTTCCTAAGGACAACTGAGCTTCTCTTTAAGAGACAAGATGCGGACTGTGACCTGACTCACATGATGTGGCCGGGGCCAGGCCCAGGACCCCACGCGGTGCACACAGCAAGCTCTCAGCACAGCCGTCTGGCCCCCACGCCCTCCCCAGACTGGCCTCTGGGGGACACTGTTCATCTGAAAGTCTCACCTACACCAAGAAGGGTGATCCAGGTGACACAGAGGCCC